TAAGCCTAATATTTCTTTATTTTTCTTTTTATTCCAGGCGTAATTCAAAAGCAACAACAAGATCGATTTTAATCTATTGTGGCTTATTTCTTTCTTAAATACGCTCTCTGTAAATTTACTCATTTAAAATTTCCATTTACTGCATTAATTCTCTTATTTAATATTCCGTTTTATAATGTACAAATTTCATATAAAAATGGAGTAAGGAAGACGAAATCTTGAACTACCAATTCGTATAATCTGTTTACAAAGGGATTTAGTGAATTTAAAGTTAAAACTTAATAAACTTAGTTAAAACGGTTAATAGTCGTTAACGATATGCTCATATTAAAATGATAATTTAATTGGTCGAATTTTGTGTTATATGATTTTGAAAAATAATTGAGATACTCTTCAATTTCTAATTATAAATAATATATAATTTTGGGTAAAATTTTCGTAAGTTTCTTTTTTTAATTTAATTGCAATAATAGTCCACACTTTTTCATCCATTTAATCATAATTTTCGTTAGCACCGAGATTAAAAATTTCTGACTCGTAAAACATAGACCGATATGTTAATAATGTAAATAATAAATAATTTGAGCAAAATTTTGAGAAGGAAGCAATAACCTATATAATAACATAATACGTCAAACAAGTATAACTGAGAATAAAAATAGCTAAGGCTCTAACATACCAAAAGTCGTAAATGGTTTGTAAAAGTTTTGTTTGTTACTCAAAACAAGCTCATAAAATTCCTTTTATTCCTTTAGAATAAGGCTCTATCCAATAATTCCCCCCCCCCCAGTTGTACGAGCGAAAGAATAGAAATGAACGGCTATTCTATATGTGTAAACGTTTTCTGTTCGTTCGCGAAAGAAAGAAAGTGCACGCAAAGCCAGAATGAAAAACGAAATGAATAGTGCTGAGAAGCAGAAAGAAAGAGGGGACGGTGAAAAGTTAGGGTAGAGGGTTAACACATCGAGGCATGTGTATATAAAACAGACCCGACCTCACTCAAAATTACAGTATTTTGTGGCAGTGAAGCATCACAAAAAGCTGTGCGAAGTCCGTCGAGTCGCGAGCGCATATAAGAGGATCCGCTTTTGTAACGAAAGCGCGATTCTAAAAAATCGAGGAGAGAAAATTATAGACTTGTAGGCATTCCGCGCCTACTCCTCGAGACGAACTGATTCCACGAGCCTTCACATCACGTTTCGAGCTTTCGTCAGAAAGCTGTCGCTGCCGCCACCGCCGGCGTCGACGTCGCGTGCTGAAAGGGAGTCCCGATCGTTACTTACGCCAACCTACCAAAAACCTTCAAGTACCCTTTTTGCAATTCATACACGTTATAAAATAAAAAGAAAAAGAAAAGGAACACTCTCCTATGGAATAAATTGCAGCTGAAGCCATATGAAGAGCGGAAAATTCGCCTAGCCAACGTACCTATTACTATAATCAGCAATCACGAGATAAATTTCATGACCATTAGCTTGCGTATAATCAAATTCGAAAGTCTATATTCTCCGGTTTCTTTTCTATTATGATGATACATGAATAAAGAATGAAGTGAAGATGATTTTGAAAATCAATTCTAGTTTAAGGCAAATTCTTTTAAATCCTCGACAGATTTCGTGCAGAGCGAAGTTAAGTATTCAAATACGAAAAGATACGTACATATCTGTGAACATCATAAACCATTTCTGATTAACCAGTTAGGATAATCATAGTCGATAAGCTTTCATTTAAGTTCCTTCATAAGAACAGGTGAATATTCATAGATTTAAACTGTCAGTGTTAGACATTTTGAATTTTGTTAAGACCTCTCAGAATTCTTCATCTTATCTTTTGAAAATATATTGCTATAGATCTACGTAAAATACTTAAAAATTACAAGCTTTACTCGCAATATTATTAATAACATTATAATTGTATTCAACATTTTAATAAATAATAGATAATTAATTTATTTTTTATAGTTATATATTTTTGTCCTCGAATCAAGCTCAAATAGTTCAGAGTTATTAATCATTTAATAAGTTTAAAACAATAATATATATTTATGATAACAATTATAAATATATAAACACGTTTCCATTTAATTTGTTAAAATTTATTACAAAGTATGTGCTTATTACATATTTTACATTAAAATCTTATTTTAAATTATCATCAAATAAAAGATAACATTACTAATATAATTAGAAATAGAACGAAATAATTTCAAATTTTTATGATTATTGTATTATAAATAATTTAACCAATTTTAGCTTGTATAGAATATATAAAATATATAATACAAATAAATTTTATAATATTATACGCGTGTGTACACATATATGTTAGATTTATTTGACATATCAAATAAATTATAACTTTCTTAAGAATAATAAATTATTCCTGAAAATAAATTTAACCAAATGTTTACTGTTTATCTTTCGTAATGTAGTATACAAATGAAATGTATACTTAAAATATTTGAACAAATGAACGTTTCGTTCGGTTTACTTAGTTCAAAAAATATAATCTATTAAATAAACGTTCTACTATAGCCGATGTCCAGTAAAAAATATATTATTATGTAAATTAGTCACACTCATAATAATTTTAGCTGAAATGTATCATAACAGAGGAGGAAATAATAGTAATGCAAATAATTTTACAAATAAATATTAAAAAATTAATGACATTATAATAAGAAAATGTATATTAAAAAGACAGGAAATCCGAAGTATTTTTTAAAGATGACATAGAGATAAAATATTTTACAATTCAATTTGACATGGATTTCTAATTCGCAGACGAATTAATAAATAAATTAATTAATATAGCAATGATTTAAAAATGAGTGTCTACATGTGGAAAATTCATTGAAAAAGAAATTAATGATTTTCTGAAACAGGTAAATTATTAAAGACAAGAATTATGAAATATTCCATTTAATGAAATTTTATAATTATACTTTAATGAAAATAAATATCAAATACCATTTCTAAAATGAAAAACAATAACGCAAATTAAATTAATAGTCAGTGACTAATAAATCATGTAAATTAATTATTGATTTTTGTACTAAGCTTATTTCCAAGGTAGATTTTTTCCAAAATATAAAATATTAACTTATTCGTTACGAATAAATAAAAGTAAATGTTCTTATAATAGAATGCCTAATTGTAGCCTGAAAAAAATACATCAATAAAAAATTATGAACTAGTGAGTATGGTGTACTATTTCAAGTGAAGAATTAATTTAATTTGAAATTTCATTTATTATGTATGATAGTCTCATTGACAAAATATTAAATTAAGATGAAATGGGAAGGGATGACCTCTAATCGGGAACGTATTTGAATCCGGACATCCATTATCTATTTTTAGTTGCACGTAATTATATTATTTACTTTAAATTCAATTTTAGAATCAATTTCTGGATATCATATGTAATGATACATGTGAATGTCTAAGCGATGGAATATATTAATTATTTATACTATCAATCATTAGCTGTAACCATGTTTAATGTAAAAGTTGAATTCAACATAAAAAGTTAATTCAATTTAAATTATAACAATCTCTTCATTTAATATTACGAAATCATAATACAGATATATAAGAAAATTTTGAATATGATATTTAAATATAAATTAAAATTAAATGCTTTGTTATTTTAAAAAGTTAATTCAAACTAATTATAAAAAGGTTTGTTATTGTTAATATTATTATGTGTAATCTATGAAACTTTTATTTACCGAAAATGTTAAATATATTAAAAATGAAGTTGTTAACTTCAAATTCGAGCCCGTGATTACTGTGTATATTAATATAAATAATTATCTAACATTTTAGATAACATAAACACGATAATAATTTTAATGAAATAATGAATTGTATTGGCTGGTTTTCTATACGAACTTACGATACGATTCACTTACTTGTGGGTCACTTAATGTATAATTTGAAAGTAAACAATTCACTTTTACTATTTCCAGCAGCTGAATAAATTTATTTAAATTTTCAAAACGTAATGTCTTTTATGATATAACAGCTGCTATTTAAAATTCAATTAATATAATATAATACGAGTCGCGATTATCAAATATTTAAAACTGTTACATAAGAATGTAGACATAAGTCACGTTGCTTCAAAAATAAATCTTTAAAAATAAAGAATTATTTAATCATGTGTAGCAAATAAATATATAAAATGTTTAATTTCCACTAATTACAAATAAAAACAACAATTATTTATTTACTTTCGTATAGTTTTTCATATTTCAACAATGTTTTAATGCCTAAAAATTAACAAAAATTTGATAAATTACAAGGATTTTTCAAAACATATTTTATTAGAAATAGATAATTTAAAATAATTGTATAAATTGATTATTGTATAGCAGCGATAAATCTTTGAACTAATTATGTAAATCAATACAAATGGATTAGCCATACAATTGCCTCGATTACCTATCAATAATTTAGATTATTTTAAAATAAAATAGTTTCTGAATTAATTATTCGTAATTTGCGATTTATTACATTATATGCTTTATACGTTTTTTGTTTTTTATTTTTTTTTTTTTGAAATTCAGTTAATTAATAAAAATTGCTATTGTAATCTGATTTATAACTATAAAATTAACATTGTAATCTGAAAGATAATGGGAATCATAATTACAACTACATTCGAAAATAAATTTATGTCTTAAAACATCGGTATAAAAATGTTGAAAATAACTCTTCTTACTATCAGTATACATATATTCTAAGTTGGAGAAACATTGAATATAATAACTATTCGATTTATTTCAAATTCACAAAATTACGTTAAAATCTTCTCTTGTTTTGGAAAACATCTTCAATCTGAAAACTTTACAAAAGAACCTGTCGTATTTTATACAATGAGCGTATTTTTATTAGAATAATTTAGCTTTCAAGAAATAATAAAATTCTCATAAAATCATACAAATTACAAACATTTTCCCAATTTAGCAATTTTTACAATAAAATTGTAACAGTGTTATACGCGCGCGCATGTGCACACGCACAATGTACATACTTTCAAATAATATCCATAGGATCGATCGATTTGCTCGATTAATTGCAGCTCATGGACGTCGGGGGTTACTACATGAGGGAATAATGCCCAACAAGAAAGACGTGGCACTGGTCGCAGACCCGGACTGCTTTTGCTCCTGAATTCGGCAGTGAAGTCATGTTGTCGCTACACGCGTGACAAAAGATGCTGCCGCAGTTTCGACAATGATGCTAAAAAAGAAAATTCAAATTACATCTTCGTCATCCGTCGTGTTATACTACTCGATACTCTAGTGCGTATGATTATCAAATAACGTAAAATGCCTCATCACGTTTTATATATTATACATTCGTAATTATAGCGATTGTCAATCGTAACATTTTAATTGAAAAAACTTAAAAAGTCGTTTTTCTTCTTTTTTTTTTCTTTTTTCTTTTTTTTTTAATGGAGCTAATTAATTTAATTAAGACGGTAAAAGAGGAGAGCGATGCTATTGACATGGTATTATCTTATTAATAATAGAGCGTAATAAAAATTGTATAAATCTTCATAGCAGTGCAAATAATAAGGTTGAGATCCTGGCACTAATGGACTGTGCAAAAAATACACCTAAATCTAAAACTGCCAAATGAAAGATATTTGGAAAATGAGGATAACGAACCTCGACATTTTTATAATTAAGAGGACTAAGAATCGGACTAAGTATGCGTCAGTGTACAATATTCATTCGCTGTCGTGACAACAACAAATACATTGCTACTTTGAACATTATCGCAATTTTGTTAAACTCATTTAAACTACAAAGAATGACGACATTTAAACAACGTAGCTATTGGTGAAGATTAATCTAGAGACTCGATTATAGTATAGAGACGGATAGTAAAAATAACTTGTAAATTTCTACTTGGCTCTCAGTAATCTAAAAATAATATCAAATATAATTTCTCCTTCCTACTAAGGCGTCGGACTCGAGAACGGAATAAATTGCAAGGATCTAATGAAACATCAGGGCGTAATAATACCAGAGAAGAAGTGCAGAGTAGCATGCCAAGAAAAAGGTCATTTCGGGGCTCGATAAGATTAACCAAAGCTTTCCGGTCAGCGCGCACCATATACTTTGGTATCCTTGTCGCGAAAAGACAAGCTTCAACTTCAATTTCAGAAGAGCCCTGACATCCTCCTGCATAGGTTTGCATGGCATAGAAAGCACCTCCGCACAAAGCTTCGCCCCATGCCCAAACAACAATCCCTGGCTACGCCAACCTGCACGAGGTGGCCGATATTAAACACTATGGTAATCTCACATAATCAATTGCGAAGGAATAAAAGAAGAAGAAAACAAGAAGAAAAACGTAACGACTAGGGATATTTCCAAGGAGTTTGCCTTGTTATTATGCAATAACTTATTCGCTTGGTTCACGTACACTTTTAACCCCGCGGCCCCGACAACTCTATTGACGACCTTTTCTCTCTCTCTCTCTCTCTCTTACTCACTCCTGAATATGCATGCTTTATGACCGCACCATAGTTTCCGTAGTTCGCGGCTCGCGCCTTGCTTGTCACTCCACGATCGCTAATCAAGGCTGCATATCGCTGGGCGCCTTTGCCCTACACTCGGCCCACATATGATAATTAATCGAGATGATGATGTTACGCGCGTGTTTGCCATACGCGATAAAAATCTTGCTTCTTTTCTCCGATTTCGAAGGAGAAAATTCGTGGAAAACATTAGCCCTTAATGATCGCGTCGTTCGTAGATTATATTATCATAGGGAGAAAAGGGAGGCGAGGAGATTGCTTACAGCGCCCACATGTCGCTATCACAAGGCCTTTTAGTTTTACATTATTTTTCGATATCTTAGCGATGATAATTTATTGATAAATTGAGGAAATTCAGATGCCCATCAACACTTTATATATTTAATACGTAATCTGTAAGTGCTCTATTTTACAATTAATTCATTGCACTTTTACTTTAAATTATGTTACTGGCATTATTAATTCACCATAGCGAATCAAAGTAAAGCTGTACTTCGCAACATTAATAAGTAATTTTGAATAAATTTAATATGGAAATATTTTTAAAAATTCATACAATCAAGCCTTTGATCTATTCTTATCGGCAGAATCACTTTATGATGAAGAACATATAAATTACGTTATGTGAGTAAAGAAAAAAAAAATTGTGTCCATAAGCTTCAGCCGTGTAGAGTATTATAATAGTTCAATTTCATATTTCTTCATAATCTTACTATATACAAGAACTTTTCCCTCTGTTTCCTTACTCACTATTTATTATTCGATTTTCTATTTTATACTTAAATTCTTGCCCGAGCTTACATTTGAATGTACATCTAAAAGAATTTATTGAAAATATTCGCAAAAGTTATGAAGATAACAAATTAAAATAATACTCACAATTTATAGCGAATAAGCAATGGTTTGTAAAAAAAAAAAAATAATAAAAATAATAATAAAATAAAAAAATAATTATAATAATAATAAAGCAGAATATTACAGATATTCTTAGGATATATAATTTCTGAAGAAGCAAACAATTGTTTGCCGAATAAAGTGGAAGTCGTAGCGAAAAACTTGGAATTACAAACTTGTAGAGCCCAAAATCTACTTAGCCTAAAGTTTGAAAATTGAGAGTCTGTGTATAATGGTTGCAAACTTTGAAAAGTATTACCGTTCTTTTTCGATAATTAAACAAAAATTAAAAAATTCATGTTAAAACTGATATATTAGATTTGAGGTAAAACAAAATTTCCTTCTGCATATAATCGATGTAAATTGAAGCCTATTGAAGTAAATTTTAATTTTACTTCTTATTAAAAGCCTGACGAGAGATGTCTCGAAATTGAGTATTTTGTTGCCTTTTTGTTTTTCATTTTTAACGTAAAAATCTGAGGATTCGAAAACAGTCGAGAACCTTCATTACTTTATTTAAATCAAATATATTTCCGTTATAAATATCTAACATATAACACTCGTCTGACTGTCTTAATGGACTTGGCAAAAGCGGCACTGCTCGCTCAAATTCGGCATAAAAGCGTAAATCCATTACGCGTTAAAGACTTAGAATTACAATATCAAGATAATGTCAATGGCCGTCGGAAATCTCGCATTCGCCAGCGATTATCATTTAATTGTGCAAAATCGGTTAAAAAAGAAATCCCGAACGCACGGATGGCTAATTATTTTCCTCGCGTTATATCGTAATTAAGTTCTTCCTCGTGGCCGTGGCACTACCATTCCGAGTGAACGCGCGAATGGAAATAGAAGTTCGGCAGGAGTGCGCGCGCCGAGATAATTACTGGTAAACGATTAGTGAGAAGTTGCTCGGTTACCGTACTCCGCCTCGCACCAACTGACGAGCGGCCTCGACGGCGTGGGTGGGTGGGGCGGGCGGGGTTTGGGCCGAGGCAAATTAAAAAGTTTGATTACCTTGCGACGAGTAATGTTGAATTCCCTGCTACAGCTCTTGCAGTGAGTGACCATCCGGTCGTTGGCCCAGGTCGCCGTCCCAGCTTCATCGGGCTGTTGGTGCTCGCGCAACTCGACCGCCGCCAACTTGGCCATGCTCAGCTGGACTCCGAGCTCCTCCAAAGTTACCTCCTGCTCCGAGCAGATCTCCTTCAGGGCGTAATGCTCTTCTTGCAGGCATTTGTACTTCTGGGGATATTATTGTCCGACTTGAAAATTAAATTCTCGCTCCGATTGATCGACGCTATTCTCTAACGCGGATTGCGCGCTCTTTCCATTCATTTCCCACCTATTCAAGGCTCGACCCTTTCAACCAACTATTCTCTCTAATATAATGATTGCTCGCTATATTTCGCCTTGGTATACAAAATAATAATTTCACTACGAATTGGAGGATGCGACTGTTGACCGAAGAAGGATGACAAAAGAATGATGACAAGCAGAGTCGAAATTCAGCGACTCGTTTTGCATTGTCATGCATTAACAAAGATATTTTAATATCCAGACGCGCGACTAAAAGTACCATTGGGCAAGGTATAATCATATATTATATGACGACAACTATAAACAAATCAATCTAATGTTACGAGAGCGTCTGCTTTCATTAAATCGATTTTACTGTTCAAGAACAATTGAATAATTACAATTAAGTAAAAAGAACAATTAACAATTGCCAATGCTAACTCAAAATATAAATACAATTATTAAAATTAGGTTTTCACACAACTGCTATAGTACGAATTTCAAAATGATTTTATTTAATCTATAACATCTATTACATTATATATGTAATACTAGGTGGATCGAATTTTATGTGTCTTATCTCCATATTGAGCGTTAACGTTCTATAAAACTTACAGGTTTTCATTACCAAATATATTTCACCGAATGTACATATCATTTATCAATTGTGCCCTAAAAATATTGTAAAAAATTTCCCATAATTTATCTAATAAGATAGTATTTAATTAGAAGTTTAATTGCAAAAGTAGAAGTTAAAACATTTAACAAGAATATACGGCTCAATTTTCTACGATACCTTTATCTCTGCACAATTACTACTTAGAAACTTTTCAAAATTCATTTTTCATTACGTCGTAATGTGGTTGAAATCGTATATTTTATAAAAACAGCATAGGCATATAAATCTTTTCATTAATAATTTGCAAAATATTCATTCGGCGATAAAAGCCACTAGTCACTCGATAAATAATCATAAAAATAATCAGATAAGTATTTAAGCGACATTTAATGCATGGCTCACGTCGCCATCGACGCATCACATTTATCATTCACAATAAAACGTCATCAGAAGTGACTTTTTAAAATAGCTGTCGACCGACAAATTACCTCGGACTCTATTTTCAGCTGGTCGATTTCTTGATGAAGTTGTGATATTTTCTCGGTGTTGCCGATCGCTGACTCGTGCAACGAAGTTCGCCATTCACGTTCGATGCGCAACTCTTGTTCAATATCAGTGACACGTGCCTCCTTCTCGGCTGCTTCGGCTCCAAGGATCCTCACACGTTCCTCCGCCCCTGAACGCACGTCATCAATCGTCTTACACCTGATTGCATTAATAATGATTAGCGCGAGGGTGTAATGATTATACAGCGCCGCCATGCTCGGACGCCGTTGACTTAACTTATGAACCTTGTTTGATCGAAATGCAATTTTTTCTTGCTAAAGTGCTAATGTAGGTAACGGTGAATTTTTTCAGAAATCTATCTTTTTGCCATAAATTCAGTTTTTTTACTTTTCAATGAGTCCTGTTAGATTATATCGGTTATGAAATTTATGCGAAATATCCTATATTAGATAAAAACGAATAATCTTTTTTTTTTTTACAGATAAAATACCACAGTGTTCGTGCAAATTACACAGGCATGTCTTTAAAAGAATAATTGTAACTACAAAACAAAAATCCATCATACGAATTCAATATTAACCAATATTTAAATTGTTTATATATTTATTCGCATAAATTATAAAAAATCTAAATATTATCATACTTTTTTTATATATATATATAAAGATTTTTTAACAAATTAATGAAACATTAAAGTCAAAATTGAAACTCAATTTTTTTATTTATTTTTACATATTTTTTATTATTTTTATACATTACGCGATATAATTCGGTGCTGTGAGAATTTGTACATATTTAAATATAAAAATTATACCTATTCGTACAAGTGCTCTTCTCATCTAATACATTGAAAGATTTATTATATATAAAGCAGATTTTAAACTATAATATTTGTCATCAATTAATGAGAATGTATTTACACAGAAATAATAGATATGACTTTTTTTTTTAATTTTTAATTAATTATCCATTTTCGTAGTTGTATTTGACTGCTGAAATTTTTACGATAAAATTTCTGCTCTGAATCGCGATGAATCTCTCTCAATTCAATTACCATGATTATTTAATTAAATTCTTCATTACTTATTTTCTGCTCATAAGTACAGCCTCAAGTCAAATAACCGAATTATGTTGCATACGCACATCTATTTCGATAACGCTATTCAAACTGTAAATATGAATGTCAATTAAATAAATAGAATAGAAATACAATGCTTAAGCGAACGCAATAATTAATAGAAATTGAGTTTTCACCCGAGCACAGTTTGGCTAGAGAAATTTCATTAGTCGTGAATATACGGGAAGAAAATAGTTTCGAATTAAATGATATTTAACAATTAAACCAATAACTTTCATAACACACATTGAAATTATTTTACATCAAAGTACAATAAGTACTATTAACAAAACTGTACTTAAAAGCTTGTTGACATAATATATTTATACGCGTCCCATCCTCAGTGCTCCCGAATAGCAAACTCTATTTAAGGATTAAGTGTCGTGTATTAGAAATGTGCTGCAGATTATAATAATTTCAAGCTGTAATAGCAACTAGGGATGTCAGTTTTTAGTTACTTATACGCGCGTAAAATATTTAAATTAATAAACTAAAGTAAATAAAAAATTTGTAAATTAAAGGAATTATATTAAATTAATGATATTGTTTAATGAGTATTTTAAGAGTTTCATGTTAATAAGTGTTGATATTAATTGAGAAAAATATAATTTTAACTATCGGTGAATTTTATTAAAATAAAGAAAAATTGCGAAATAAGTATGGTAATATAATTTAGTGGACAATTTTGGGATAAAGTAAACAATATGATTTTTTTTTTCGTTTCATATTTATATATTTATTATTGTAACCTTACATAATTTATCATGCCAATGACAATTAAAATAGAATTCATTTACAAGTTCATTGTAAATTGCACATAATAAGTCAATATTAACTTATTATATATCACCATGCGTTATATTATCTCACTGGAACTTTTAACATCATAAAATTATCACTAAATAAACAATTTAATATTATTCGCAATACTTTGAAAATAATAAATTTCTCATAATATATAGAAAGTATCACACAATAATAATATTCTCCTAAGTTTCAATAAGTTTCGCTTGAGTATATCATGGCAAAAAGGTTTTAAAAATTAAAATATCCTATTTTCCATATCACCGGGTTCTCTAAATTTATTTATCGAGCATAATCATACGGAATCATTTTTTCAAATAGATACAATACGTAGCTATCGATCAAACATTTTCATAATTAACTTGTATACCTAAGGAGATTATGATTCAGCATTAAAAACTAGAATTTAAAAATAAATAACACATACTTTTCATCCATTTTTTGGATGGTATCAGTCATTGAAAACGTTTTGGCTTCCAATTTAGATATCAATTCGGTTTTATGCCTAAGAGAGCTCTCGCATTCCTGAAATCCGCCAGAATAACATACTCTATTAATGATTCATAAATAAATTGTGCAATAAAACCTGAAATCAATGTTCACTGAAAAACTAGATTAGAAAAATGTAAAATCCATTGACTAGAATTTGATGAGTCGTTATAACATAATTAATAGCAATAGTAACTGCGCCCCTCATTTGTTATTATATTATACAGATGTGATAATAGTAGTGCTGAAAATGTATAGTATTAGCATATTTTCAAAATGTTTTCATTAATTTCAATATATAATCTGCTTAAAAAGCAAACATTTAATGGCTTTTTAATTGTTGACAATCTTTCCTTTTTTTTTTTTTTTTTTTTTTTTTTTTACAAACATATCACACACTAGTTATAAAAAGCTTGACAATATAAATAAATAATATTCTCTCGATCATTCTTCATTCATGAAAAGTGAATAATACAATTTTTGTGCCTTCTCTCACTTCATTCCATACAATAGACATTGCAGAAACTTATATTAAAACGGATGAATATCAAAAATAAAGAGGCATTATATTAACTGAAACGTAAAGAAGGAAGTTAATCAAATGTCGCAGTTACGTCTCTATCCTCCAATGATTTATCGACAATCGGTTTTGTTATATTTCGCTGTTCCGAGAGCGGAGTCACAGAGGTTTTGTTCACTTTTGGTTCGCCTATAACTCTCCACATTTCCGAGGAGTCACAGATTGATCTCGGGCGCAATGGAGCTATCGGTGCTCTCGACGTCGTTGCCTCCGATCTATTCTGCATACTCTTGTACACACCTCTAGGCGTTGTCGGACTACGAGCGCCTTCGCTCTCCTTAACGAAATTGTTGAACTTTTCAAGATTGTTCAATAACTTTCCTATCTGATTGGTTTTCGCGTGAAGCCTGCTCACCATTTCACCTTTCTGAGTTAATTCTTGCTCGCACTCCTATAAGTCAAATATACGGCAAATACCGTCAGTTGAGAGGCAGAATTAGGAAAAATGACGATTATCGAATTTAATTAAACGGTGATATTTCACGCATAATTCACGCGCTAATTAAACTAAGTTTGCTTAAATAAAGAAAAAACATTATTAAAAATCAATAAAAATCATGCATAATTTTCTCAACGGTCACAGCATTTACAATATTGGAACAATGACACTCAGAGAAATATCCTTTTAATTAACGAACATTTGTCTTCTAGATATAATTATAGATGAAAAATGGTTAATTTAACATTACATTAGTGAATAAAAAACATTTGTCATTACAATTTTTGCTAGACTTAATTAAGCACCGATAATTGTTTTTATTATTTATTAGTTAATTTATTAGTTTATCTATTTATTATCTATAATATTTATTATTATCTTTCTATAAAAGTAAAGGAATTTATATAAATAAATATTAATAATATCATTCTAAATGTAAATCATATAATATATAGAATTTTAGAACATTGTTGGTGCTTAAGAATTGAAATTAAAAATTTCTTTTACTCACTAACATAAGGTTGTATTCCCTATTTTTCATTTAAAATTAATATAAATAATTCTTTTAGACCATCATTTAACGTGATATTTTATTTACGTAAAAATGAATATTTCTCTTGATAGAATTCCAATCATTCATTAATTCATGGCATATATAATAAAATCATCATAAAATTATAATAAACACGTAATAAATTCCCGCTAAACCAAATATTTCATCATGCACTTATTCACCTGTAACTTTTTGTACATTTCAAGGTTGATTTGCTTAATATCATCGAGTTGTCGCCTTAATGATATTATCGTATCCTGCTTTTCATGAATATCCTTCTCTAGTAATTTCATAGCAACTTCCATTTCAGATTTCATACTAATCTATTAAAAACAATACGTTATTTTCTATATTTTTTTACAAAAAAAAAAAAAAAAAATAAATGCTTTATTGTTAAAAATTTTTATTAAACCTGCAATTGTTATATTTTTTTACAAAAAAAAAAAAAAAAAATACATGCTTTATTGTTAACAATTTTTATTCAACCTGCAATTGTAATTCCTTCTCAGTTTCGCTTCTTAGCCGTTTCTGTGTTTCTAAGCTCGTCCTCAACTCTTCATTTTCAGTTGTTGTTTCTGTTATTTTGATCGATGGTTTTCCATCCTAAAGAATACAATAAACTTACTTATCATAACAATAATATTACTTTTCAACATTTTTTTATTATTTTGATATTTATACCTCGTATGATTCTTTAATATCTGTTCCTAATTCTTTTTTCAATTGTTGATTTTCATAGTGCAGAAAAAGAGTATTATTCTTTGCTATCGACAAGTCTTCCTTCATCAATGCATTGGTTGTTGTGAGAGATTCGACTTTCGCTTGTAGATTCTGAACTGTTGCACTAAAATACAACGACATGACGTTTAAGATGACACGATCAATAATCGAATAAATTTTATAATAAATTAACCGATTTCAATTACTTCAAATGTCTGTTGAGCTCTTCAATATAGTTCTTTTGATCGAGTACCGTAGTCATATTATCATTTTCTAATTCATCATCGGGAGATTCACCAGGAATGTGATTACTATTCCTAAGATAAAGAGAAAAATCTATCACGCCTTGCTGGCAATCGAGATCTTCTTCCTAACGAACATAATTAGTTTTCATTAAACTTCTACTGCTTTATCCGATTGCTTGTATAAATCATTCGTTTAATAAATCTCAAATTAAACGGAGCCCAACTTGATATTTAACAACATCAACTAACCTTAACACAAAAATTGCAGTCTATCACATTAAGTCCGACTAATAATCCCATTACTACGATCGCCTCTTCGCTCATCATTAAGGCATCCGGTTCGAAATATTCAGAAAGCAACTCATCTTTATGATCAATTAGAACTTTCAAATAATCCGCAAGTTTCTTCTGCATTAAAGCCATTCTCAACCAAGCTCGAGCTCTACCCATTGCCGTCCTATAAAATTGACGATATCAATCGACAATTGTAATAATGATTAAATATAAGTCTTTCATTGAACAAAAAAAAAAAAAAAAAAAAAAAAAAAAAAAAAAAAAAAAAAAAAAAAAAAAAAAAAAAAAAAAAAAAAAAAAAAAAAAAAAAAAAAAAAAAAAAAAAAAACAAAGTACTACTACTGTACCATTATAGTAGCAAATATTTTGAAACCAATTATATTTATAAAACATTAATATTTGCGAACGAGATATAAACCTTAACGTTGATGACGAATGAAACATACCTAACTGTAGGTAAATCGCGAATACTGGCGGTCATGTCATACGCATCAGGACAGTATTTTTCAATCAGTTGGAGTATATCCCACAATTCCTTCTTAGGGCCTAGCAAACCCTAAAAATGGCGTATACATGTCAGATTTCTGCTTTTATGAAAAATATTAAAAAATTTTATTGGCTTTTATTTTACCTTCTTAGGTCGCAAGCCGTGTCTCAGCACGTGTTCAAGGACGATAAAGAAGTGCTGTAGAGGCATGTGATCAGAATCGAGCATGCGTCCATATTTTAAAGAAGTTTCAATAAGTTCTTTCACTATCAATTTTGAAATATTCACCAGGTTGCTCCGCTCAATAATTACAGGTTCACGCGCTAAAAAATAAATGTTAAAATTTTGCAGTTTGATACAATATCTCATTCATTATCTCATCACATCAATTTCAAATGCTCATTCTTGAAGACCATCATATACTGAGATATATTTTTTAATTTAACAATAAGAAGTATTTCATTGGCGTCAAAATGTTTGTTAAAATGTTTATTTGATGTAACAGCCAAAGGATAAAGCCAATATTTAGTAAGTTCTGATCGAACATATAATTTTAAATAATTTTTGCAAAGTAAAGAACACATAACCGAAGTATGTAGTTGTGTATTTTTCTTATAAATCCGTACAGCTCGTAACTATTACAATTCAAGATGATGAATATAATTTTAAAAATTTTTGTCCTATTATTAATAACGTTTATCATTGTAATTTACTAAATCGATATATCTACAATTATAATGGTGAAGATATAATATAATTTTCCAATATACCAATTATTTTATACGTTAATTGTTAATACACATACATACATACGTATGAAAAAGTAAAATCTAAGTACAAAATCTTTGAATAGCTGCACTTAAGAGTTAATATAGCATTAACTTATATTCTTAATTTAACTTACGCACGTAACACTCTCGTTATTATTATGATTAAATATATATATATATATATATATATATATATATATATGTAATAGAAAGTCTTTGTGGCTAATAAAGATGTAAATTTTGGAAATTTATTTCCTTTATTATTAGTGTAAATGTAAATCTTCAAAACAAAAAAAAACAAAAAAATATATAATAGTTATAAAAATCGTAATTTCTGTACTTTGATTCAACTGAATTTTGGCAGGACTTTTGTTTATAAATATAAATATAAAAGGAAATTATAAATATTTAAAAAAACATGAAGTTTAGAAAACAAATTAAAAGAAATGTTTTTAAAAATAATACGTAGATTCGAAAGCAAATGTGTGCATTCGAAATGTATAGAAATACAAGCAGGAGATGTGCTGAATAGATGATACAAGAATATCGCAAAACTCTGTTGTAGGTCGCAATGTATACCACTTAATGTTAAGGGTGGTGACTGTGATCGCTGCATGGACTCGGGCATTCCAAATTCAACGTCTTGTAGCTGCTTCAGGCAAAGCCACTCGCCATCAACGGACACGCGAAAGTTGCATAAATAAATGGTGTCCTGAGCACCAGGCATCTCCTGATCCAACATGTTTGCAGATAATTTTTTGACAACTTCTAATCAAGCCTTTATTCCTATTCTCTTGCTCAAATATGAAAAGACATATGTATATATATATATATATATATATAGGTATATATATAGAAAGAGAGAGAGAGAGAGAGAGAGAGGAGAGAGAGAGAGAGAGAGAGAGAGACCAGATAGACTGCTTATTGACTTTGAGCACTGTGAAAAACCTTGGTTCACGTTTTGCCTCGTTTTGGATCGATCACCCAGATATTCTCCAAGTCAACAAAGAATTCCAAGACTTTTCTCTTCTCCGATTTCTAAGAGCTGGTATAACCTTGATATTACTATAAATTACTTCCGAAAAGTCACGAAATTTTGCGATATCCTATAAATTGTTTACACTACAAATTCTCACTTTTCATTCAATTTCCGGATATTACTGACAAGTCACGACCATGTCACTGGTACAGAATAATAATGTTAATTACTATTAGTACGTAGAAGGTATAATCTTGCACTGCTCGGAGTCGCATCTAATATCGAAGACATTAATTTCAGCAACGTAGCAATTTATTTATCACTTTATATACAGATTATCATTGAATTGAGAAAACTCAATGCAACTATTTATAATTGTAGAAAAAGAAACGGTCGTTACGATTAACAGAATGAATGAACCTTTAAAACAGGGATGCGATGCGCCCGCGATGAAAACATTTGGCTACATGACATGGCGAACACCGGTGCCCTCTCATATTGATTTTCGTGCCGACTTAGCCTCCACCTACGTTAATCAATAATCATTCAACGAAATATGGTAGTGGGGCTCGTGGTTCTCAAAACGCATGTCTCGCTTGACTCTGCAAAGTGCTGCCGCCATTATCTATGCCAACACCAACGACATATCAGCTGGTAAAGTAGAGGTGAGACAAACTTCAAATGACATATACTACCAAATTTGCAGTATGCAAGTTCATTCATCACACTGGCAGTTTTAAAATACATTTTTGCGTGTAGATATTATTGTTTTTATACACATGCTGCTGATGGAAAATCCGATATTATGGATTATGGAGAAAAAGAGATAAAGTACTTTAATAAAATTGCTGTAATAAATTATTAAAGCTAATCATTCTTACAATTCAATAATAAATATAAAATAAAAACAAAATTTTATTATTTATCATTATTTTCGAACATTCGAAAGTTTAATTATAAATATTTTTTACAGATTTAATACCCGGTAACAAAGAAGCATAAAGTAAACAAAAAACTAATAAGAAGGCAGTAAAAAACTTTTTATCCAAATTTTATCATTCATCTAAATTAAATTAATATAACTATCGATTAATCAATTATGTGATTTACCCAAATGACTGAATATTAATTATAATTTCTATAATTGAATAATAAAATTAATTTAGAAAAATGAAGAATATTGAAAAAAAAAATGTTATCAAATGTTTTACTAAAAAAATAATCAATAATTACGCAAATGTATTTTTTTTAATACCAGTTATCCCCAGATGATACAAATATATTTAGGTAAATATAAGTTCAAATTATAATAATAAATTCATTCGTGTTAATCATTTTTTTCTTAACCAAATTGAAAACATTGAAAAATATACTCGGGATACTTTAGCTAAGGATAAAGAAGTAAATTACTTTAATTATATAACCGCTGGTGTTATACGTATTACATTTTCTACAATTAATAGCAATCTAATTAAGAAAAGAAAAACTTATTTATGAAAACGAAAACGAATAATACCCCGCTATTCTGTGCGTTCAATTTACATTCTATAATAGTAAATTATACTAAATATATTATACGAAATTATACTAAATTATACTAAATAGTAAATTTTTTGCGATCTTTTTTTAATTCTTCATTAATATTGTTTAAATATAATGGCCTTTACATCAACAAACAATGTTTTTAGTATATAATATATAAACTTGTATTTAAATTAATAAACTGATTCAAAACATAAAAATGACTAATTATAAATCTATTATTAGCAGGTGTTTCGGTTAAAAGAAATCTATATAGTACAACATGGAAAAATTGAAAAAAAAAGATATCTAGAATTCGTATATATATTAAAATCTTACGCATAGTCTACTTATTAACTATTCAGTTTATTAATGATACTTAATTACATTTTAATATATACTAATAATTATTATATTACAGATCTGATATGTTTAAGTTACAATTGAGCTTTAATATAAATAAATTTATTGAAATTTCGAATTATACTTGTTAGTTTGCAGTATTCTTAGTAATTACATTATATTAAATATTAAATAATTCGTATTAAATAAACGACAACAATATATAAAGATAAAGTCTATGAAAAAAATAATAAAAACTGATTTTTCATTAAAGCAAGATAATTATGATATGAATATATAAATTCTCAATATAAAAGAATATGTACAAAAAGCTAATAAAAGTTGGAGAAAAAATTCCCCAAGGAATTTCGATCGACGATTGCTCCATTGTGCTAACAAAATAAACAAGATAGTCCTTCTTGGGAAAAAAGGAACATAGGAAAAAAGGGTTCAATCGAATACTCTAATCCACATAAAAGAAGAAAGAGAATTTTTTAGTGATTTGGATTCAAAGGGCAATCCTGTAAACCGCATAGACAACTTTGGGGAAATAAAAGACGCATCACCATAAAATAAAAACCAAAGTAAGACTAAGATGTTTTATAACAATAAATGAGAAATCCTGTTCGTTTAAGGAATTACATGAAAAAATGGTAATCGAAATAGTAATCCCTCCCTTTTTTAGTAATCTCCGCCGGTAAACTGATGATAAAGCCAGGATTAATTATATATCATTTTACATTATTTATATTATGTGTATTTAATAAGTATCTTTAATAATATAAGCATTGACCTATCATTAATCTAATGAATTTCATAAAGTGGTCTAAGCTATCGAAATATAAACGCCGTTTAATGCTATTAATCACCAGGTGTTCAAATATAAGAAAGGAAAATAATTGGGTAATTAATTCACCGTCTCTTTCAGATTTTTGCAAAAGAAATAGTATCAGCTTTTGCTATAGGCACTTCAGATTATATTTTATTTGCAATTTTATTATCCATAATCTTCTACACAGATTGGCGAATAAGACCTTAGTATTTTCATTGGTATTTACGAGTCCTCCATGAGTTTACAAGTTGCGAACTATTCAACTAATACGTTATCTTACAGCAAACTAACGAATTCTGATGCGCATTCCAATAAGTTTATATATCAGTTAAATTAAATGGCTGAATTTGTGTTATTAATATTAATAAACTTAGTTATAATTTATTCATGACTCCATTTATTCGACTCATACTGCAAGTAATCACCTCGCCGTCATAAATATTTACATAATTCTAACAGTAAGAAATATGGTCGTAATCTCATTTTATCGACTATAAATTTTGCACAAATTAAAATTTCCAAAACAAATGATAACTAGCATACTAATAATTTAAATTTCTAAATTGCTGAAAATGCTTGAATATTTTTTTTAACTTTCCACGGCTAAATTTAGCTTATACCAAATTTAAATCACCTATTTTAGTATTTAAATATCATAAATAATATTTAAATATCATAAGTAATAAAATAATACATTTAAATTATATATAAATTTATATTATATTCAACTTTAAAATTAACACAAAACATGTAGCAATACCAAATATAAAATTCTATTTATATAACAAAGAAAGTCTTCCACAATGTTATTAGTATGAAAATACAAATATATTAATATGCTTCTCTCTCTCTCTCTCTCTCTCTCTCCATCTCTCTCTCTCTCTCTCTCTCTCTCTCTGTTTTCTCTCTCTCTCTCTCTCTCTCTCTCTCTCTCTGTTTCTTTGTCGATCGCATACAACATTAGATTGAATTTTATCCAATGATCTTTTTATTAAATCAATACGGTTATTAAATATCCAACCTGAATACCAACAATTCGAAAATTAAAAAAATGATTCCATGATTTTACAATATTTAAAACAATAAGCCAAATATTCAAAATAATATAATAAAACTAAACCTATAAATATCATCACCCGATTATTTATTTTATTAAAAATATGTAATTATTTTTAAATATGTTTATTATTTAATTATTATTAAATATAAAATAATTCAATAAAATTTTAATTTATTATAATTTCACCTTTATTAACAATAATACTTTAACACATTTCTCTTGGGAATCACAAAACTATCCAACAATTATGCAGCTAACAAAAAACGAAAACTCTTTAAATTGGTAGTTAACGATAAAAACAGCGTAAACATAAAAGTATTGCATAGCTTAAAATAACGTTTTTAACTATTAAATTAATTACTGATATTAATAAACTAAATTATATCATTTCTAAGATTTAAAGTAAATATAAACAAATTTTATATTCACATATTTTTAGATGCACACTATATGCATAGTAATTAAAAAAAAAAAAAAAAAAAAAAAAAAAAAAAAAAAAAAAAAAACAAAGAAAGAAAGAAATCGTAAGAAGAAACATTAAGGAGTTAAGATAATATAATCGTACTTTTATGGTTACGAAAATTGTTGAAAAGCAATAAATACTCAATCGAAATAACTGATAAAGTCTGAATTAGTTACTATGCATTGCCAAATATTAATAATTTTCTATATTAGTGTGTTTAATGCAATATTTAATTCAACAAATATTAAAAGCTTTATTATAAGATTTATATATGCAATGTTATTAATTAAAATGAAACACATGAAAATTATTTAAATTAAATTTAGATTTTTATATACATTTAAAATCGTTTATTAGTAATAAATATTTATTATAAACGTATTATTAAATTTTGCTACAAGTTTCAGTTAATGTCCTACAGATTGATCATTCGTTTTTTGGCAGGAAAGGAGCCATATAAACTGGGAAACGAATTTTAAAAATATTCACATATTATATTACTGAAATACGAGAATCCTTTTAACAATTTATTCTATTAATAAGAATAAAATACGTGATAGTCGCATACAAGTACATAAACACTACTTTTAGACATTAGATTAAACTGTTAAAT